TGGTGCCCTCACCCCCCTCCCTAACCCCTCCACCATCATTGGAGCCGATTCTACCGTATTCCCCCAGATAAAACACCCGCCGGAATTAATCACCCATCGGTGGTCTGGGCGGACCTGGGTGCTTTATTAAACTGGATATTCATACCACCCTAGTTTTTGGCATGAATCCTATACACCACCGCCCTGGTTCATTTTCACTATATTTCTTTAGATTTTGCCTCTTATCAGACTCGCGCTTCACTGAGCAGTGCAAGCTCGACGCGAATCGGTTCAATGCGGTGTAGAGCTGTTACCATGCCTGGAATTCTCGTCACTCAGGCGAATGTTGCGAGTCTGATACAGTACGAGACTCATGGGAACACACTCCTCACAGTACACTACAGTGCGGTAGAATCCATGTCGGTCGGCCCTGGTTGAGTCGTGAAGGAATCTGCAGCAGATTCCTTCCAGCTTTGGTGCGCTGTCACATTGTGGCGTCGAGGTTGCCACTTGCCACCACGATTTGACAGAACGTGACAACCTGTGACGCAGGCAACCTATGACTGTTTGCCTGCAACGTGGCATGACGATGGTCCTCCTCACCATATACGCGATCACGTGCAAGAATCGTCAAAATTCGGCACAAAAGAACTGTCTACAACACAGTTGAGTTCCAGTTCATAAACATAAAATTGTCATTCCATAGCCCCCGGGCGTTACACAAAAAGTGCCACTAATTACACCCCCACTAAATTTTGCATCAAAATTTAGTGCCACCCGTGGGTGTTTTATCCAGGGGAATACGGTACTTTCTCGGTCACCTCCCGCCATACCTCCACTCTTCCCTGCCCCCTCTTCCCCTCAGGTTCAGTAACCGGCTTCCATGTCCCCTCCCTTCGCACTAACCTCGTCTCCCAAGGTGCACTTCAACGGGCCGGGGTCACAACAATCTACCCTTGCCACGCCACCCACAATGACATGTTTCACTCATCCACGGGTCATTTCATCGTCCGTGTTCCCATGTGTCCTCGCATTCGCATGTACACCCTTCACACTCCTCGTCCGTCAACCCGTCACACTGCCTCCACCATCCCTCCCCTCCCCCCTCCCCTCTTTCCTCCGCAACCTCCCCCCACCTCCCCTCCCGCCCCTCCTGCTCCCCCCCCATCTTAGTGCCATTGTCGTGCTCTTACACATCCTGCCATCCTCCTCCACCCCAGCCTAGGTCACCCCAACTTTGCCACCCTCCACAAGGCCATCGCCTCCAAGCTCCTCAATGGCCTTCCCCTCACACTTCTCCCACTCCCTCCCTCTCCCGCCCCTCCCTGCACCGTCTGTGTCCAGAGCAAGCTCAAGCAGCTTCCTCACAAAAGTCACCCGTCCTGCGCCCCAGAGCTCCTAGATCTTGTCCACATGGACCTTTGGGGCCCCAACCCTTCCCCCACTTGTCAAGCGCACCGCTACCTCCTCGTCCTAGTCGATGACCGCTCACGATACACCTCGGTCTCCCTCCTTCGCACGAAGGCCGAGGCACTGGCCTTCATCAGTGCCTGGGCCGAGCAGGCGCGAACCCACTTCGGTCGCCCCGTTCAGCGCTTCCATTCCGATGGCAGCGGTGAATTCCTCAATCACCATCTCTCTTCCTATTTCTCCACCCATGGTATTCACCACACTTACACCCTCCCTCACTCCCCTCAGCAGAATGGCGTGGCAAAGGCTCGTGTTCGAGAAGTTACAAAGACCGCCAGGTGTCTTCTCGTTCACGCCTCCTGCCCGCCTTCTCTCTGGGGTTATGCTCTTCTCCACGCCGCCCTCCTCACTAACCTGTATCCCCACCCTCTCCTCCCCTCCACCACCCCCACCGAGCTGTGGAGGTCAACTAAACCCGACGTCTCCCCCCTGCGCGTCTGGGGTTCCAGGGCGTATGTTCTCATACACTCGGCCGACCGCTCACGCACAGCAAGGAAGCTCGCCTCCAAGAGTCTACCCTGTGTATTCCTTGGTCACAACTACTCCTTCCCTGACTACCTGTTCCTCCACCCCCCCTTAGGTCGCCTCATTCGTAGTCGGGACGTTATCTTTGACGAATCCTCCCCGTACTACACCTCCCCTGCCTCACCTGACCCACTCACCATTCCTCCTCGCCCCCTCATCCTCTCTGACACTGTCACCCCCCCCTTTGATCCAGTACTCCCTCCCTCTCCCTCTCACTCTGCTTCCGCTCCGTCCTCCCCCTTCTCCCCACCTCCCTCCCCTCCACCTACTTCCCCCCCTCCCCCCCTCCTCCTCTCCCACCTCCCCCACCTCTCCCACCTCCTCCTCCCCCCCCCCAGGTGTCTCCTCCCCTGGTCCTTCGCCACCGCCCTCATACTCGGTCCATGGATCCCCTCTTTGGTCCGCCCTTAGCCCCTCCCTCCCCTTAGGCAAAGGCACCCGCTCTAGCACCCTCTGCTTCCACATCCGCACCCGCCGCAGCAGCTCCCGCCGCCGCACCAGTGCCTGCCCCGGTCGCCGCACCCGCAGCGTCAGGATCCGCCGCATCAGTTCTCCCGGTTAAGCAGCCGTGCAGCCGAGTCGCAGAATCACAGTGTCGCAGCCTCCCCCCTCAGCAGCGCAGCAGACTTGCAACACCACCCTCCCTTCCTCCTCCTTTCTCTCCTCTCCTCATCGAAGGCTCCCATGGGGAATTTCTTCGCCTCCACCTCTTCTCCAACACCCAAGCAATCGCCTTCAGCATGACCGGCGCCCCGGTTCTTATCTTCTCCGGTGCGCCCGTCATCTTGTAGCTGGGAGATTATCACGAAGCTATGACATGCCTTGACCACCCTCACTGGGGCAAGACAGTCCTCAAAGAGAAAAATGCCTTTGTCCGCAAGGCACCTTCATCGACGTACCCCGCCCTCTCAACCACAACGTGGTCAAGGGCAAATGGGCATTTCGGATCAAGCTCCTCCCTGGCGACGACCCGGTCTATAAGGCCCGCTACTGCGCCAAAGGATTCACGCAGCGGTATGGCCATGACTTCCTTCGCACCTACTCGCCAACCGCCACTCCCCCTGTCGTCTGCGTGTTTCTGGACGTCGTCGGCTGGCGCGGCATGATCCTGCACTCGATGGATGTCACCACGGCATTTCTCCAAGGCGAACTCCATGAGCGCATCTTTATGGAGCGCCCCGAGGGTAGGCTTGAGCATGAACCCGACCCGACCCGACCTGACCCGACTTTGCCCTACCCGATACCGGGTTCGGGTCGGGTCGGGTCGGGTCAAGTCGGGTCGGAGCTCGGGAAATGTCAACCCGACCCGGGTTTAATAGGTCGGGTACTACCTGACCCGATTTCGGGTCGGGTCGGGTCGGGTTGGCATAGGGGCAGGGACGGGTAATAAGCCGACCCGATGGGTCGGGTTTTGTCGGTCGGGTCGGGTCGGGTCGGGTTGACCCTCCGCAAATGTTGACCCGACCAGTCAAAAAGTCGGGTTCGGGTCGGGTTACCTGACCCGACCCGACCCGTTGCTCAAGCCTACCCGAGGGCTGTCACCTCCCCTTCCCTCCCAACACCGTTTGGGAACTTCGCCTCCCTGTCTACGGCTTCAAGCAAGCTCCTCGGGATGGCATGCCAAGCTCTCAAGCACTCTCCGTGCTCTTGGATTTCGCCATTCCCAGGCTTCCTCTTGCGCTTGCCTCTTCCTGCGCACCTCCCCCTCCCCCTTCTACAACGTCGTCTACATCGATGACATGCTTCTTGCCTCTGACAACGAAGCAGACCTACAACAGGTCAAGGATTAGCTGCAGAAGCGCCTTCTCTGCAAAGAACTGGGGGAGGTCCGCAACTACCTTGGGATGGAGATCACTCGCGATCGTGCGGCCAAGACCATCTCCCTCTCTGAGGCATTCTACCTCGAGAAGGTTCTTGAACGCTTCGAGATGGCCAAGGCCAAACACGTCTCCACACCCCTCCAAGTCGGCCACCAGCTCTCGCCAACATCCACCCACGGTTCCTCCACTAGTCCCTGATGTACGCCATGATGTGCACCCGCCCCGACCTCGCCTACCCTATCAGTGTCCTGGCGCGCTTTTTCGGCGCTGGCAAACACACTCCCAAGCACTGACAAGCGGCCAAACGCGTTCTCCGCTACATCAAAGGCACCAAGGACTATGTCCTCACCTTGGGTGGGCCCACCCCTCCTCAACTCACCGGCTACAGCGACTCCTCTTGGGCGGATTCTCAGCCCGATCGTCGCAGCTCACAGGGGTATGGTTTCTCCCTTGGGAGCGGCCTCATTTCCTGCCGCTCCACCCGCTCCTCCTCGATTGCTCTCTCCTCCTGCGAAGCAGAGCTCTACGTCGTCACCATGGCGGCCCAGGAGGCGCGGTGGCTCAGCTTCCTCCTCGCTGAACTGGATGCTCCCCAGCCCTGTCCCACCATCTGGTGCGACAATGCCAGTACAATCCACCTCACAAAAGAAGCCGTTTTCCATGGTCGCTCCAAACACATCGAGCTCCGCCACTACTTAGTTCGTGAGCTCGTCCAGGCTGGACACATCACTCTCCACAAGATTGACTCTTCAGCCAACCTTGCGGATATCTTCACCAAGGCCCTCCCTCGCCGTCCCCATGCGGCCCTCCTTCGCCTTCTGGGTCTTGCCCCTCTCTCTCAGGGGAATACCTGATTCACGAGTTGCTTCTCCTCACCTACCCAAGACTTATGGCACTCTGTAGGCTAAGGGGTTGTGCTAGAATATTCTCCCTTCATTCTATTAGCCTACTTCGTTTCATTGTCTTAGGTACTTATAAGCACCCCACAAAGGTGTATACATCTAAGTTGGGGGTTGGGTTCCCACTTGCCTCCCACTTGCCTTCCTTGCCTCCCTTGCCCATGCCCCTTGCCCGTGCCGTGCCCCCTGCCTCCCATGCCCACCCCCTGCCTGCCGTGCCCACCCCCTGCCTCCCATGCCCACCCCCTGCCTGCCGTGCCCACCCCCTGCCTGCCGTGCGCGTGCGCCATGCCCCCGGTACCGGCAGCTGGAGCGCGAGGAGGAGGTGTTGGAGGCGGTGCTGGCGGGGCGCGGCATGTGCCACGCGCTGCTGGGCCGCCACGACCATGCCCTCGCCGACTACTCCAGGGTGAGGGTTGCTTGCAGGGGATGGGGCGATGGATATAATCTGAGGATTGGAGCTAGTGATATGTGGCTTGGCCTCGCCCAAATCGTGTTGCATCACATGCACGCCCTCACGCACAGGCCAGGTCACAGCACACATGCACGGGTCAGAGCACACATGCGCGGGTCAGAGCACACAGGCACAGGTCAGAGCACACATGCACGGGTCAGAGCACACATGCGCGGGTCAGAGCACACGGGCACGGGTCAGAGCACACATGCAAGGGTCAGAGCACACATGCACGGGTCAGAGCACACAGAACAGAAGAGAGTGGGACATAGAGGGTAGTGAAGATGGAGTGCAATGGTAGGCCGTCGCAATGCCACTTGCAGAGTATGGGCATTGTCATGCGCTGTGGACTGTGACTGGGCTCACCACGCATGCACGTGCGTGATGTTCATGTCCCCCTACCCGGGCCCCCATGGCATGTGGAGCAGGGGGTGAAGCTGTTCCCGCACAACGCCGAGCTCTGGAGGCGACGAGGCCTGCTGCAAGGCGGCATGGGCAGGAGGAGAGAGGTGAGCCGTGATGCATGGCGGCATGGGCAGGAGGAGAGAGGTGAGCCGTGATGCATGGCGGCATGGGCAGGAGGAGAGAGGTGAGCCGTGATGCATGGCGGCATGGGCAGGAGGAAGTAAGAGTGGAGAGTAGGTTGAGGGTGAGCGTGCGCTGGAGAGAGGTAGGGTGGGAGAAGGCAGTAAGCGTCACCCTTTGCGTTGGTGCCCTTTTTTTTTATCATTCGTTAAGAGCTGGAAGGGTACAACAGGAATCAACAAGGCATGTAGAGTTTGTATGGAATGCAAATGAAGGCATGTACACATCTGCACCACCGGCTCATTCCATCCCTCCCATCCCATCCCATCCCGTCTCACTGCATGCTTCTTGTCGCCCCCTTATCCCCATGCGCTGCGTGCGGCCCCCCCGGCAGGCCATAGAGGACATCTCTCGCTCGCTGGATCTGGACCCCACCAACCACGATGCTCTGCTGCAGCGAGGTGATGCGGGCCTGCTCCATGCCCGCTCCATGCACACTCATCACTGGCTCAGAGCGGTGCTGGGGGGTGTGTGGTTGATGCACGATGTTAAGGGATCCTGAGTGGAGATGGTGGCGGGTGCTGAGAGGGGATGGTAGCGGGTGGTAAGTGAGAGGGGACACAGCAGAATGGAGAAAGACGGTTGCAGCGCAACTAAGATGCAGAAGTCCGCAGAGGGACATAGTTTTGTAGAGAGACATAGGGCGGCAGAGATAAGCAGTGTTACGGTGCTGACTTGCCCTGTCGCGCCGATTGATTTGAATACCCGTGTGCATGTTGAGGGTGTGTTTACATTGGGAGTGCATGTGTGATGGCCACATGTGTGCGTGCACGTGGCAGGCAGTCTGTGGTTCCACTCGCAGGACTACTGGGCGGCCATCGACGACTTCTCCACGCTGCTTGACACGCGACCACCCGACCCGCTTCTCTTCAATGCCCTGGTGCGTCCACTGCGGCCTCTCCCTCTGCGCTATCCCCCTCTCCTGATGCCCTCTTTGCTGGCCCCTCTTCCCCGCTGCTGGCCCCTCTTCCCCGCTGCTGGCCCCTCTTCCCCGCTGCTGGCCCCTCTTCCCCGCTGCTGGCCCCTCTTCCCCGCTGCTGGCCCCTCTTCCCCGCTGCTGGCCCCTCTTCCCCGCTGCTCGCCCCTCTTCCCCGCTGCTGACCCCTCTTCCCCGCTGCTGGCCCCTCTTCCCTGCTGCTGGCCCCTCTTCCCCGCTGCTCGCCCCTTTTCCCCGCTGCTCGCCCCTCTTCCCCGCTGCTGGCCCCTCTTCCCCGCTGCTGGCCCCTCTTCCCCGCTGCTCGCCCCTCTTCCCCGCTGCTGGCGCCTTCCCATGCCGTAATTCTTCCGCGCACCTTGTCCCACCCCCTCGCCCGCATGCCGCGCGCACCTCTGCCCCGCCGCCCGCTCTCAGGGCCTGGCCCTAGCGGGGGCGGGCGAGTGGCGGAGGGCAGCGGAGGTGTTTGCGCGCGGGACGGCACTGTTCCCGCGGGCGGTGCAGCTGTGGGTGGAGGGCGGGCGCGCGTTCAAAGAGCTGGGTGACGTGGCGCGCGCACAGGACGCGCTGGAGCGGGCCGTGGCGCTGGAGGAGTGAGTCCTGGGAGGGGGTGAAGGGCGTGGGGAGGGTTCAATGCAGGCAGGGGAGCAGTAGCATAGCAGGGAAGTTCTGGGGGAAAGGGAAGAAGGGGAAGCATGTTCCTCTTGCTGTGCCTTGGCCATGCGTGAATCTTGTCCCTTGTGTGCGTGTGCTCTGCTGCCATCATGAAAGGATTCCTGCATAAGTTGCCTCCTACTCGTTCCTCGCTCTCTCAATCCATCTGTGCCGTCCATCTGTGCCGTCCATCTGTGCCGTCCATCTCTGTCACCCATTGGTGCCATCTGCTGGCATCAGGTCCACGGTGGCATACCACCGCCTGGCGTCGCTGCAGCACCTCACAGGCGACCACAGGTGCAGTGGTGGAGATGAGGGGCGGGCGCATGTGGAGTGAGGCAGCTTGCACAGGGGCATGTGTGTCCACATGATTAGGAGTGCGTCCACAAGTGGGCATGGGGATAGTAACACGAAGTGGTGCCACAGTGATGGGAGGGACGGCAAAGAACTTAGCTAGATGAGGAAGAGGTCCGTCCAAGTTTTCAATAGGTTGACGACAGTGACTGTCAACGTGCTTCATAAGGTCCCACAAGGAAATGCAACGAGCGAATACTCCTGCTGTCGTTCCCTCACCCCTCGTGCTCCTGTGAGCCCCCTTTAGGGCGACCATAGAGTGCGTGCAGCGGGGCCTGAGGGGCAACCCGGGCGACATCGAGCTCAACCACATGCAGGCCTCGGCGCACCACGCCCTGGGGGACTTCATCCTCGCTGTAAGCATGTGCAGCCTCGCTGTAAGCATGTGCATCCTCTCTGTAAGCATGTGCATCCTCGCTGTAAGCATATGCATCCTCGCTGTAAGCATGTGCATCCTCGCTGTAAGCATGTGCATCCTCACTGCGAGCATGTGCATCCTAGTGCATGTCTGGCCCATCTTCCCAGTGTTCTCACTGTCCTCAATGCATCTCTGCACCTGCTGCTGCGCCACCTCTTCCCTTCACCCTCTGCCGCCTCTGCCCTCTGTGCGCCCGTATGTGCTGCCCGCCGACCAGCTGAAGCAGTACGACCACGTGCTCAGCCTGAGTGCCGGCGACACCCCAGGCTCCTTTCACGTGCTGCAGTTCATGGCCTTCTACCAGGTGCGCTTCATGGCCTTCTACCAGGTGCACTTCATGGCCTTCTACCAGGTGCACTTCATGGCCTTCTACCAGGTGCACTTCATGGCCTTCTACCAGGTGCACTTCATGGCCTTCTACAAGGTGCACTTCATGGCCTTCTACCAGGTGCGCTTCATGGCCTTCTACCAGGTGCACTTCATGGCCTTCTACCAGGTGCACTTCATGGCCTTCTACCAGGTGCACTTCATGGCCTTCTACCAGGTGCGCTTCATGGCCTTCTACCAGGTGCACTTCATGGCCTTCTACCAGGTGCACTTCATGGCCTTCTATCAGGTGCACTTCATGGCCTTCTACCAGGTGCACTTCATGGCCTTCTACCAGGTGCACTTCATGGCCTTCTACCAGGTGCGCTTCATGGCCTTCTACCAGGTGCACTTCATGGCCTTCTACCAGGTGCACTTCATGGCCTTCTACCAGGTGCGCTTCATGGCCTTCTACCAGGTGCACTTCATGGCCTTCTACCAGGTGCGCTTCATGGCCTTCTACCAGGTGCACTTCATGGCCTTCTACCAGGTGCACTTCATGGCCTTCTACCAGGTGCACTTCATGGCCTTCTACCAGGTGCACTTCATGGCCTTCTACCAGATGCACTTCATGGCCTTCTACCAGGTGCACTTCATGGCCTTCTACCAGGTGCACTTCATGGCCTTCTACCAGGTGCACTTCATGGCCTTCTACCAGGTGCACTCCATGGCCTTCTACCAGGTGCGCTTCATGGCCTTCTACCAGGTGCACTTTATGGCCTTCTACCAGGTGCGCTTCATGGCCTTCTACCAGATGCACTTCATGGCCTTCTACCAGGTGCACTTCATGGCCTTCTACCAGGTGCGCTTCATGGCCTTCTACCAGGTGCACTTCATGGCCTTCTACCAGGTGCACTTCATGGCCTTCTACCAGGTGCACTTCATGGCCTTCTACCAGGTGCACTTCATGGCCTTCTACCAGATGCACTTCATGGCCTTCTACCAGGTGCACTTCATGGCCTTCTACCAGGTGCACTTCATGGCCTTCTACCAGGTGCACTTCATGGCCTTCTACCAGGTGCACTCCATGGCCTTCTACCAGGTGCGCTTCATGGCCTTCTACCAGGTGCACTTTATGGCCTTCTACCAGGTGCGCTTCATGGCCTTCTACCAGATGCACTTCATGGCCTTCTACCAGGTGCACTTCATGGCCTTCTACCAGGTGCACTTCATGGCCTTCTACCAGGTGCACTTCATGGCCTTCTACCAGGTGCACTTCATGGCCTTCTACCAGATGCACTTCATGGCCTTCTACCAGGTGCACTTCATGGCCTTCTACCAGGTGCACTTCATGGCCTTCTACCAGGTGCACTTCATGGCCTTCTACCAGGTGCACTCCATGGCCTTCTACCAGGTGCGCTTCATGGCCTTCTACCAGGTGCACTTTATGGCCTTCTACCAGGTGCGCTTCATGGCCTTCTACCAGATGCACTTCATGGCCTTCTACCAGGTGCACTTCATGGCCTTCTACCAGGTGCGCTTCATGGCCTTCTACCAGGTGCACTTCATGGGCTTCTACCAGGTGCACTTCATGGCCTTCTACCTGGTGCACTTCATGGCCTTCTACCAGGTGCACTTCATGGCCTTCTACCAGATGCACTTCATGGCCTTCTACCAGGTGCACTTCATGGCCTTCTACCAGGTGCACTTCATGGCCTTCTACCAGGTGCACTTCATGGCCTTCTACCAGGTGCACTCCATGGCCTTCTACCAGGTGCGCTTCATGGCCTTCTACCAGGTGCACTTTATGGCCTTCTACCAGGTGCGCTTCATGGCCTTCTACCAGATGCACTTCATGGCCTTCTACCAGGTGCACTTCATGGCCTTCTACCAGGTGCACTTCATGGCCTTCTACCAGGTGCACTTCATGGCCTTCTACCAGGTGCACTTCATGGCCTTCTACCAGATGCACTTCATGGCCTTCTACCAGGTGCACTTCATGGCCTTCTACCAGGTGCACTTCATGGCCTTCTACCAGGTGCACTTCATGGCCTTCTACCAGGTGCACTCCATGGCCTTCTACCAGGTGCGCTTCATGGCCTTCTACCAGGTGCACTTTATGGCCTTCTACCAGGTGCGCTTCATGGCCTTCTACCAGATGCACTTCATGGCCTTCTACCAGGTGCACTTCATGGCCTTCTACCAGGTGCTCTTCATGGCCTTCTACCAGGTGCACTTCATGGCCTTCTACCAGGTGCACTTCATGGCCTTCTACCTGGTGCACTTCATGGCCTTCTACCAGGTGCACTTCATGGCCTTCTACCAGGTGCACTTCATGGCCTTCTACCAGGTGCGCTTCATGGCCTTCTACCAGGTGCACTTTATGGCCTTCTACCAGGTGCGCTTCATGGCCTTCTACCAGATGCACTTCATGGCCTTCTACCAGGTGCACTTCATGGCCTTCTACCAGGTGCACTTCATGGCCTTCTACCAGGTGCACTTCATGGCCTTCTACCAGGTGCACTTCATGGCCTTCTACCAGATGCACTTCATGGCCTTCTACCAGGTGCACTTCATGGCCTTCTACCAGGTGCACTTCATGGCCTTCTACCAGGTGCACTTCATGGCCTTCTACCAGGTGCGCTTCATGGCCTACTACCAGGTGCACTTCATGGCCTTCTACCAGGTGCACTTCATGGCCTTCTACCAGGTGCACTTCATGGCCTTCTACCAGGTGCACTTCATGGCCTTCTACCAGGTGCACTTCATGGCCTTCTACCAGGTGCACTTCATGGCCTTCTACCAGGTGCGCTTCATGGCCTTCTACCAGGTGCACTTCATGGCCTTCTACCAGGTGCGCTTCATGGCCTTCTACCAGGTGCGCTTCATGGCCTTCTACCAGGTGCACTTCATGGCCTTCTACCAGGTGCACTTCATGGCCTTCTACCAGGTGCATTTCATGGCCTTCTACCAGGTGCCCTTCATGGCCTTCTACCAGGTGCACTTCATGGCCTTCTACCAGGTGCACTTCATGGCCTTCTACCAGGTGCGCTTTATGGCCTTCTACCAGGTGCACTTCATGGCCTTCTACCAGGTGCGCTTCATGGCCTTCTGCCAGGTGCGGGCTGTAAGAAATGAATGAAGGATTGATTGTAGAGGTAGTGATACAAGGTTATGTACCGAGGTGGCCAATCCTAGCAACACAATGCACTAAACGAATGATGGTGGGAAGGTTGGACCACCAATGATTGAGGGACCAATGTTTTGTTGGGCTGGCCAACAATGTTGGACACCTCGATAGTTGGGGTCACGGGTTGGTTTCATATCCAACCCCAACCCTCATCTACACCGCTAGGTTAACCAACTTGGTTATAAAAACCCTTGTATATGAAACTATGTAGGATAAAGAGAATGTTATGTTCTAACACGGTTGGCAGGCAGTTCATGTTTGTTTCGACAGTTCCATCACTGTCTACGGAAATCTTTGCACAGCCTCCTTTTCTCTTGCTCTTGCTCTTCATCACAAGTCGTTCCTCTCCTGGGCGGCCATTAGCGGCATGCATGCCCATGTGCACTCATGAGCATGCACCGCCACTTCAACCCCGTGTGCCCCATGCGGTGGCAGCGGGAGATAGCGGCATACACGGTGCTAAAGCTGGACGCCCCCTTCACCGCCTTCCGCCTCGACTCCCACCTCGACGTCAAGTTCCGGGTATTCCTTGTGTGGCCATTGGCCGGAGCCCACGACTTCCCGTAGAGGTGCCTCTTGGATCTCTTGGCGTCTGAAGCCAGCCTCTCGAGTGCGCGAGTCAGCTCTGGGCTCAGAACCACCAGCCACAAGCAACGGGCTTTGCCAGTCAACGCCTCCCCTGGTTTTTCCAATGCTCTGCGTCACACACTCTATCCTTTCTTACGCACCCGTCTCTTGCACACTCTTTCCGCGCACACGCTTTCGGCGCACACGCTTTCCGCGCACACGCTTTCGGCGCACACGCTTTCCGCGCACACGCTTTCGGCACTCACCCACGTCCCACTGAGCCGTGTCCGAGCCTTTCTTGTCTTGTCCTGTCGGCCACATGCTCTGCCCCCGCTCCGGCCGCCCTCAGGAGGCGTGGGTGAAGAAGCTCTCGCCCTGGACGCTCTTCCCCGGCTACAACCCCATCCGCCTCACCGAATCACACCTCTGGACCGCCTCCCGAGCCTCGCTGCCGAGCCTGTCGAAGCAGGCCCGGGCTCTGATTGCTGAGGCTGACAGGATCGGGCAGCGCACCCAGTACCACGTGGATGGGTTCTTCCCCAACAAGCGGCAGGTGCGTGGTGAGAGGGGAGAGACTACCTGCAGGGAAGTGGGAGGGGAGTAGAGGGTGTGAGTGGGGAGGGTGGGCAGTTAGAAAGTGGGGAGAGGAGACAGCACATGGGTGTGCGGGAGGGAAGAGGAGAGGGAAGAATGGGAAGATGCAGCACAAGTTAGGTGAGCGGTTGACTGCTTGGTGCACGGGTTTCCCCAGTGCCCTTTTCTGGAACTCCTATGGCGCATGTGCTGCCTATGGCTTGACATGGCATGGCACGTGATAGCATGGCATGGCATGGAATGGCATGTTGTGGCATGGTATGGCATGGCATGGTATGTTGTGTTGTCATGTGATGGCATGGTGGCAGTATCGCATGGCAGGGTTAGCCATGCTTGACATCATGCAGAGAGTGGCAACCACATGGCAGGCCATGGCCTCTGCCACGTCAGCACAGGACAGCAGCAATCTATCATCACCTGCAGCACCGCTGGGCAGTGCGGGTGAGGCAGTAGCACCTTCCCCAGCCCAGCCTGAGTCCATCACCTCCGCGCCTCTCATCTCGCGTGTTGCTGCCACTGCTGTGGACGCTGCTGATGCCTCGGCTGCTGCTTTGCCCAGCAAGAGCAGCAACGGCGGCAGCAGCAGGCAGAGGCAGAGGGGGGCGGACAAGGGAGCAACTCACACGGCTGGGAGTGGTGGCAGCAGCAGTGGGGGGATGGGTGATGGTGGGAAGGGGCGGAGGGGCAGAGGTAGCAAGGGCAAGGACGGGGGGCAAGGAGGAGGCGGGTTGATAGGCGGGTGGCGGGAGCTGTTCAACGGCATCGTGCGGTGGCGGCAGATTGCAGAGCCCGCTGACACCGTGGCGTGGATCGATGCTCTCAAGTGAGTGCCGTGGAATGGTGAGTATGGCATGAATGAGGTGCACAAAACGAAGGTTACTCGGCACATGGGTTGCCATGCTCCTCCACTGCGCGCTTACTGCAGTCGCTAGAGCTCCTGGAAATTCCTCTAAATGCTTGAGAGAGTAAAATGATTTGTGGCTATGGTTTGGGAGTTGGGGGCGCGGTTGGGAATGAATGCCAGGGAGCAAGTGTACAAGGAGCCACAGCACACAGTGGGAATGAATGCCAGGGAGCAAGTGTACAAGGAGCCACAGCACACAGTGGGAATGAATGAGACGCATGTCACATCTATCGCACGCCGTAACATCCTTGCTCACCAAGCCCATCCTGCAATGTGCCATGTCCATCCCGCAATGTGCTATGTCCATCCCGCAATGTGCCATGTCCATCCCGCAATGTGCCATGTCCATCCCGCAATGTGCCATGTCCATCCCGCAATGTGCCATGTCCACCCCGCAATGTGCCTTGTCCATCCTGCAATGTGCCATGTCCATCCCGCAATGTGCCATGTCCATCCCGCAATGTGCCATGTCCATCCCGCAATGTGCCATGTCCATCCCGCAATGTGCCATGTCCATCCCGCAATGTGCCATGTCCATCCCGCAATGTGCCATGTCCATCCCGCAATGTGCCATGTCCATCCCGCAATGTGCCATGTCCATCCCGCAATGTGCCATGTCCATCCCGCATGTGCCATGTCCATCCCGCAATGTGCCGTGGCCTCCCAGGAACGAGTTTGAGACGGGGTTTGGGTCGATCACGGCCATGACGGTGGGCCCCACGCGCAACCTCAAGTACTACCCCTTGGCCCACCGCGCCCTTGCCCTCATGCGCGCGCGCCTCCTGCAAACCCGTATGGCCGCCAATGCTGCCGGTTCGCCGCTCCCTGTGCCGCCCAGCCGACTGCCAGAGGCGAGTGGTTGGATGCGGCTCATCTTCTCACCTTCTCACCCATTCATCGTATTCGCTCACGTCCTACTTGTTGTACATTTAGAAGTTGGCGATCCAATGTGAATTTCTTGCATTCGTACCCAATCGCCTTTAATCTGACATGGGCATCTCTCTCATCGTTCCTCTCGGTGCCCGCCTGCCGCCACTGCCGCCATCCCCGCACCGCTTGGATCTCTGCTGTTTTGGGTGCAGATTGAGCGGGCGCGGTCGGTGGGGGAGGTGCACGCAGTGGTGGGGGAGAACTTCTTCGTCACCACCGAGTGCCACAGCGTCGCATTCCCGGGGTCAGTGCCACAGCGTCGCATTCCCGGGGGTGAGACCTGCTGGTGCTTGCGTCGTCCATCCACGCCATGCAAGATGTGCGAAGCAACTAGTCGTGGTACCCATAGTGGCTTCAACCAATGCCGCACAGGCTGCCGCCGCCTTGCGTTGCACAGCCACAGTGTGGCTTGCTTCAGGCCCCCGTGTCCCCACCGACAGCCACAGTGTGGCTTGCTTCAGGCCCCCGTGTCCCCACCGACAGCCACAGTGTGGCTTGCTTCAGGCCCCCGTGTCCCCACCGACAGCCACAGTGTGGCTTGCTTCAGGCCCCCGTGTCCCCACCGACAGCCACAGTGCGGCTTGCTTCAGGCCCCCGTGTCCCCACCGACAGCCACAGTGTGGCTTGCTTCAGGCCCCCGTGTCCCCACCGACAGTCACAGTGTGGCTTGCTTCAGGCCCCCGTGTCCCCACCGACAGCCACAGTGTGGCTTGCTTCAGGCCCCCGTGTCCCCACCGACAGCCACAGTGTGGCTTGCTTCAGGCCCCCGTGTCCCCACCGACAGCCACAGTGTGGCTTGCTTCAGGCCCCCGTGTCCCCACCGACAGCCACCATGCCAGCTGATGTATGCCTCACGTGTGCATCGCCCCTGGCCGTCTGCCCCTCCTAACTTTGTTTTTCCCTCCCTCCCCCCCCTGCCATCCCCCCCCTGCCATCCCCCCCTGCCATCCCCCCCTGCCATCCCCCCCTGCCATCCCCCCCCTGCCATCCCCCCCTGCCATCCCCCCCCTGCCATCCTCCCCCTGCCATCCCCCCCCTGCCATCCCCCCCTGCCATCCCCCCCCTGCCATCCCCCCCCTACCATCCCCCCCCTGCCATCCCCCCCTGCCATCCCCCCCTGCCATCTCCCCCCTGCCATCACCCTCCTGCCATCCCCCCCTGCCATCCCCCCCTGCCATCCCCCCCTGCCATCCCCCCCCTGCCATCCCCCCCTGCCATCCCCCCCCTGCCATCCCCCCCCTGCCATCCCCCCCCTGCCATCACCCCCCTGCCATCCCCCCCTGCCATCCCCCCCCTGCCATCCCCCCTTGCCATCCCCCCCCTGCCATCCCCCTCTGCCATCACCCTCCTGCCATCCCCCCCTGCCATCCCCCCCCTGCCATCCCCCCCTGCCATCCCCCCCTGCCATCCCCCCCTGCCATCCCCCCCCTGCCATCCCCCCCTCCCATCCCCCCCTGCCATCACCCCCCTGCCATCCCCCCCCTGCCATCCCCCCCTGCCATCCCCCCCCTGCCATCCCCCCCCTGCCATCCCCCCTCTGCCATCCCCCTCTGCCATCACCCTCCTGCCATTCCCCCCCTGCCATCCCCCTCCTGCCATCCCCCCCTGCCATCCCCCCCCTGCCATCCCCCCCCTGCCATCCTCCCCCCTGTGCGCGTACCAGCAAGGTGATGAACGGCACGCAGCTCACCCTCGTCGAGTCGTGAGTGCCTCACTGCCCCCTCGCCCTCTCCTCGCCGCCCATTCCACCTCTATCGTCCGTCTCCCCTTCCCTCATCTCCCTCTCTTTATCCCCTCTGCCTCACCAACCTTTGGTCGCTCCCCTTCCCCGTCTCCAATGTCTCTCCTGCATGTGCGTCACACGCGCCATTGCTTTCGTGCTGCTGCGCCCGCTCTTCTCGTCCTCTCCACCACCCAGTCGCCCACCCTCCTCGCCCCTGCCGCCCTCCCTCCCCGCCGCCAGCGGCTCCGCGTTTGATTTTGCCATCCGCACGCCCGTCACGCCGTCCCGCTGGAAGCAGTTCGACGCCGAGCTCGCTGCCGCCTGGCGGGTGAGAGGGAGCCTTGGGGGCGGGCCAGGGGAGAGATGGGAAGGATGGACATGGCAGATGGCAGATGACCATGAACAATGGTCGTTGCCTCCCCTGCCATGATAAGGTGTCGCTTACATTGGAAGGAGAAAACTTATGGCAAAATGCATGTGGATCCAGTTTCTACGGATCAGTGCTGTGCTGCTGCTCCCTGCACGATTCCGCCTACTGGCTAAGCCTTGAAGCACTTGAGCATTCGTATTTATCCGTGCATACAGCCATGGGCGAAACCGTGACTGTGTTGCCGAAGCATGCGCTTGCATGTCGTCCCAACCACCATGGCAGGATCTGTGTGGCGCAGTGTTGGACCGTGCCCTGGAGACAGCTGATGCCGCCCGCTACCGCCAGCGCATTCAAGACAATATCCTGCGGATTGGATTCTACTGGTACTGCTGCAGCCCTGCATTGCTGTCGCCTCAACCATTCAACGGGCCATGGCGTCCAACCCAGTCCGCGCCATCTTTCCCTTCCTGCCTTCTGCGCTGCCGTCCTCGCTGCTGCCTCGTCTCTCTTCCAACCCCCACCCACCTCTAGCTCTCCTGTCGCCTGCCACACACAAAGGAGACACTTCCTGCTGCTCACCCTCTCTCTCCCATGTCTCATGTCTCATGTCACATGTCTCATCACTGCATGTCTCCCCGGCCTCCCTGTCTCCCCTGTTGCCCCTGTTCCCCCGTGTCGCCCCTGTTTCCCCGTGTCTCCCCCCCGTCTCTCCCCGTGTCCCCCCGTGTTACCCCTCTCTCCCCTCTCCCCCCTCTCCCCCCTCTCCCCCCTCTCCCCTCCCCCCCCTCCCCCCCCTCCCCCCCTCCCCCCCCTCCCCCCCTCCCCCCCCTCCCCCCCCTCCCCCCCCTCCCCCCCTCCCCCCCCTCCCCCCCTCCCCCCCCTCCCCCCCTCCCCCCCCTCCCCCCCCTCCCCCCCTCCCCCCTCTCCCCCCTCTCCCCCCTCTCCCCCCTCTCTCCCCTCTCCCCCCTCGCCCCCCTCGCCCCCCTCCCCCCTCCCCCCCCTCTCCCCGCTCTCCCCTCTCTCCCCTCTCTCCCCTCTCGCCCGTCTCCCCGTGCCACTTCTGTCACCTCGCTCGCCCGGGCAGGTACCAGTTCATGCCGTTGACACGGGGCAGCGCCATGGTGGGGCTCATGGCCGTCCTGGGGCTCTCCATGGCGGCGGGCATGCAGACAACCAGTGCCATGCCGCGCGCCATGCAGGTCAGTGCCCACATGCACACCACTTCCCATGTGCCACTCAATTTGCAGGTGCGTGTGTGCGTGTGTGCTTTGCACAGGAGTGCATGCCATGCTCCATCCCCGCTAGTATTGTATGATTTGCTTTGCTGTCATCTGCTTTGCTGTCATCTGCTTTGCTGTTATCTTCTTTGCTGTGATCCGCGTCCTGTTATGCTGTTATGGTGGTTGTAAGGAATGGTGGTTTCCAGCCTCTGTAATGCTCCGAGGCTCTTCTGCTGTGCACGCACCTAGCCCCGTCGGTGCAAGGCTGCCACTGCTGCCAGCAACAATTGTCTCCTCACGCGCTCTCCACGCCCCTCCCCCCTCGCGCGGCCCGCCCAGGTGGACTGGGAGTCTATCCTATCGCCGCACTTCGCCGCCTTCAACGCCTCCGTGGCGCCGTGGCTCTTCGCCCCCGCCACCGTGCACCGCGCACCCTGGCACCTGCCGCTCGTGGCAGATGTCCTGCCGTCCACACGCCACATCATCGCCGCCCTCAGCCACCACGAGTGACTTTCCATCCACTGCCACCACACTTTCCTTTTTGCGTGCATTTACGAGATGCATGTCATGGTGGAACACCATTCGAGGCAATAAACCTCTGCTACAAGTACCACTGGCCAAATTAACCTAAGACAACTGGCACTGAGATAATCAATCCTGTGTGCCCTCATTGCAGGCTTTACAGTGGTTGTAAAATGAGAAGAATATCCAGAACTGGGTTGGGTCCTGTAATCAATGAGCATTCCCAGCAGCGCTCTGGCACTCAAGCTTGGAATGCAATGCAATGCAACGTGGTTTCATGCGAAGCTATCAGGCATCCAATGCTGTCTTCAAGAGCAGCCAGCGCATCAGGCACGGCAAGGCACATTCAGAAGAGGCTGTCGGGCACCTCGTGCACTGGCAGGCCACGGTCGTTGCGGCTCATGATGCGCCGCGCCAGCCCCACCTGCCCGCCCAGCACAAACACGTACACCGTGCCCGTGCCGCCCGCGCCCCTGGCCGTGCGGCCCACGCGGCGCACGTACTCGCTGGGGTCGCGGGGGAAGTCAAAGAGCACCACGCGGTCCACGTCCACGCTGTCGATGCCGCGCGACGCCCTGTGGCGGGTTGCAGGGGAGGAGCATGGTGCAGGTGGAAGAGGGAGTGCAGGGCAAGAAAGTGGGGCGCAGTGGACCGGCGGGGTGCATAGACGCTGAGGGAGGACGCAGAGGCATGTCGAAACAGGCAGCTGGAAGCACGTCCAGTTCTGAAACAAGCCGGCTGTGAGGCGAGCCACAAACGACTCACTATAGCGAATGCAGCAGCCAAGTTAGAGCATGCGTACCGGTCGGTGCAGACGAGGATGAGCGGGGTGGGCGGGTTGGGCGCGAGCAGCTGGTGAAGCGCCTCTCTGCGTGCGTCGGGGGTGATGCCTGCGTGGCACACGAGCACCTTGTAGCGCCGCTGCTGGCGGTCCGCCCTCACCAACATGTTCTCCACCCGCCGACACGTCTCTATCTGATGTGGTGGGCCCATGCGCCATGCACGCGCGCGCGCGCGCACACACACACACACAGAGGCACGCATGCACACACACACACACACACACACACAGAGGCACGCATGCGCGCGCGCGCGCACACACACACACACACACACACACACACAGAGGCACGCATGCACACGTACAGACACAGACATCCACACACATACATGCACGAAGCACGCAAACAAGCAGAAATATACATGATCCGCCAGAGAGCAAGGCGAACAAGTGCAGTTGATTGCAAGAGGGTGGAAAATATGACTGCAAAAGAAAGCGCAGGAGTGAGTCCAGCTGAGCACGCCCAGCAGATGAGCTTAGTCGCACTGGTCAAGGCAACAACCACGCTGCAGCACGCTCTGTTGGATCCAACAGCATCACCCCATACCTTGTTGTGAGGCGCCTCAAAACAGCATCACCCCATACCTTGTTGTGAGGCGCCTCAAAACAGCATCACCCCATACCTTGTTGCAAAACACAATCGTCTTCTTTGCGCCAACGCTGCTCTCCTCCCCTCCTCCCCCTTCACCACCCACCACGCTCTGCTCCTCCCCCTCCCCGTCCCCCCTGCGCCTGCCCCTGCCCGCGCCCACTATCTGCAGCAGCGCCGCCCTCTTCCGTGCAAACCCGCCCTCCTCTGTGCGCTCCTCGCCCTCCGCCTGCGAGCAGTCCACCAGCACCTGGCGGAGGGGAGAGTGGGGGGGGAGAAAGCGGAGAAGGATGGAGTGTTGTTGCGGATTTGGAGGCCCCTCGCCCTCCGCCTGCGAGCACTGCACCAACACCGGTGGGGAGAAGAGGGAGGGGGGGGGAGAAGGGGGGGTCGGGGGTTGGGTGGGATGTTGGGGTTTGGGGGCCGGTGCCTGCGAGCAGTCAATCAGCACCAAAGCATGGGACGGGAAAGGCGAGGGGAGGGAGGAGGGCGCAGGGGAGAGGGAAGAGGGCAGAAGGCGAAATGGGATGGCCCTAGCAGTGGAGGAAATGAGTGGCGAGAGTTTGAGTGGAAAAATGTGAAAGGCGTGTGATGGAAGGCACAGTAGTTGAAGGGGTGGGTTAGTGATGGGCTCAACGTGTCTACCCGATAGGAACGAATGGGGTCTGATGAATGTACTATCATAGAATGAGATGACAGAATATAGGTTCATGACTGAGGTACTGTTACAGCCAGTGACCCGGTAAACAGCGACATGTGTAACAGGTAATCAATAACTGGCAACTGGAAAACGGTCACCGCTGTGGCTGGCAGCGTACCTCCTGCAGGCCGGAGGCGGTGAGGTGCAGCGAGGGGCCGATGAGGGAGACGGCGGTGGGGTACTCCTGCAGCAGCTGCTCGTGCACGTCGGCGGGCAGCGTGGCCGTCACCTGCACCACCTGGCACGCGCGCGACGCGCCCATGCGGATGGGCTTGAGCGCGGCGCTGAAGTCGTCGTCGTCAAACATGATGTCCGCCTCGTCAACCACCATGCTGCCCGCGGGGGGGGGGGAGGAGGGGGTAGGGGGCAGCAGGGGATAAACTCAGAGCGAGCATCCCACTGTCATCGCCACACATCATGTCACCTCGTCCAACCATGATGGGCCGGTGGGGAGAGGGCTTGGGGTGATGGAGAGGGGAGAGAATCAGACGAGGGAGGTAGAGAGGAGGCAGTGGGGGGGGGTAGCACGGGGTTCACATCCCCCTACCCCCCGACATCAATCCTCATGTCCGCCCTCCTCCACCACGGGGTTGGCGAGATAACGAGGGGGCACTTGCAAGTCAGCACGCAGCGCTCACCACGTGACATCGTCCAGCAGCATGCTCACCACAAGACATCGTCCAGCAGCATGCTCCCGGCGTCCAGGTGCTGCAGCACGCGCCCTGGCGTGCCGACCACGAGGTCCACCCCGCCCGCCAGCGCCTCCACCTGTGGCCGCCACTTGTGCCCGCCCGTCAGCGCCACCGACCGCACCCGCATGCCGCCCAACGACAGCTGCCGCGCCACCCGCAGCACCTGGTGCAGTGAGAGGGGGGAGCAGGTAAAGGAAGGGCGGTGGAGGTGGGGGGGAGAAGTGAGAATGACGACATGCAGCACCCAATTCCCTTCACCTCTCTATGTGCTTCCCGCACCTGCCTGCCCTGCCCTTGGCAGCAGCAGCAGCAGCCGCCGGTAGTCCCAGCCTAAGAAGGGTGTGCTGACGGGCGGGAAGCAAGGGGGATGCTCTGCCGTGGCTGGTGGAGGTAGGAGAAGAGCGGCGCAAAGATGAGAGGCAGCATGGACGGATGGATGGCAGCGATGAAGCCGATGAAAGAGGCTCAACGCCAGGCGCCAATACACTTCTCCAACGCCCTCTCACTCTCCTCGCACCCTTCTGAAGGAACTAGCTTGGAAGAGAAAAGATTGAATTGAGTAGGGAGCCAAGAGGCTCTTTTGTACAAAACAAGGAGCATGGAAGAGTTGGAAGGGAAGCTCTCCTATTGGCCATAAAGTGGACCAATGGGAGAGGTTGCTTGTAGGGCAAGCAACCACAAAGTGTGGTGCTCTCCGATTGGCCACAATGTGGACCAATGAGAGAGATTGCTTGGAAGGCAAGCAACCACAAAGTGTGGTGCTTGGTGATTGGTTGGTTCCTAGGACCAAGGACCATTTGGTTGGAATAGTGCCAACCAAATGTCTAGGACCAAATCCAATCTTGACCAACCCAAATGTGGGGTTGGTCAACCCAACCAACAACCCCCAATAATTAGAATGACTACACCTCCTAATCTAGGCATGCATGTTGTATAGATATATATTTTACAACACAACCCCCCAACATGCATAAGACTAGAGGGCTTGAATCAGGAGGCGGACGAGGGAACGGGGGGAGCGAGTCCAAGAAGGCGAAGGAGGGACGAGTGGGCGGCATGGGGGAGGGCTTTGGTGAAGATGTCGGCAAGATTGGCAGCAGAGTCAATCTTGCCCAGCCGGAGGTGGCCACCGTGCACAAGCTCGCGAATGAAGTAGTGGCGAAGCTCAATGAGCTTGGAGCGCCCGTGGAACACAGCATCCTTCGTGAGGTGGATGGTGCTGGCGTTGTCGCACCAGATGGTGGGACAGCGCTGAGGGGCACCAAGCTCCTCAAGAAGGAAGGAGAGCCAGCGGGCCTCCTGCGCAGACATGGTAGCGGCATACAGCTCTGCTTCGCAGGAGGAGAGGGCAATGGAGGAGGAGCGGGTGGAGCGCCAGCTGATGAGGCCACTGCCAAGAGAGAAGCCATAGCCCTGAGAGGAGCGGCGGTCAGGCCTAGAGTCAGCCCAGGAGGAATCAGAGTAGCCAGTGAGGAGGGGAGGAGAGGGGCCGCCAAGGGTAAGGACGTATTCCTTGGTCCCCCGAAGGTAGCGGAGGACACGCTTGGCCGCTTGCCAGTGAGTGGTATCATGCTTGCCGGTACCAACGAAGCGGGCCAAAACGCTGATGGGGTATGCCAGGTCAGGGCGGGTGGAGACCATGGCATACATGAGAGAGCCGATGAGCTCAGCGTAGGGGTGGGAGGAGGAGGAGGGGGAGGTGAGGGGAGTGAGGTGGTGCCCAACAGGAAGAGGGGTGACCTGAGGGGTGCCTCGAGCCATGTCGAACCGCTCCAAGACCTGCTGCAGGTAGTGGCCTTGGGAGAGGGAGATGGTGCGAGCAGCACGGTCGCGGGTAATCTCCATGCCGAGATAGTGCTGCAGCTCCCCTAGATCCTTACACTTGAGCCGGCTGCCAAGCTCACGCTTGACGCGCTCGAGCTCGGCGGAGTCGGCAGTGATGAGGACTGCGCGAATGGTAGCGGGCTTGGCGGTGGGAGAGAAGGTGTCGAAGAAGTCGACAGCGTAGCGCTGGGTGAAGCCCTTGGCGACGTAGCGGGCCTTGTAGACTGGCGGCTCGCCAGGAAGCTGCTTCACCCGAAACACCCACTTCCCTTTGACCACGTTCGTGGTAGAGGGAGGGCGTGGCACATCCACAAAGGAGGAGTTGGCAATAAACGCCTCCAACTCCTTGAGGATGGCCGCGAGCCAGAGGTGAGCGTCAGGGCACGCCATGGCCTCCTCGTACGTGGCGGGGACGAAGATGGTGGGGGCGGAGGAGAAGGCGAAGACTGGTGTGCCGCTGAGGTCAGGGGAGATGGGTAGGAGGGCTGGATCATGCAGGTGGAGGTTGAGGATCTCCTCATGGGAGTCCTCGAGGAGGGAGGAGTGGAAAATGAATGGGAGGACTGCAGCTGCTGCTGCTGAGGATGCATCTGCTGCTGCTGCTGCTGAGGCGGCTGCCACTGCTGCATCTGCTGCGGGTGAAGGCGAGGAAGGAGCGACGGCTGCTGCTGCTGGTGCTGCTGCGGTACTGGAGCTCGACGGCAGGGTTGGGCTAGTGTTTTGTTGTAAGACTGTCTGAAAAAGGAGGTCCATGAGAGGGGAGAGAGGAGGCAAGGGAGAGGAAGAGAGGATAACAGGAGGCGGGGCACCTAGGACTGCGTCACGCGACCTGGTGTGGGGATACTGGGTAAGGATGGAGCGGGTGGGACGCAAGGGGGGAGGGGGACGTGGGGGGGAGGGGGGAGGAGGGGAGGGGGGAGGATGGGAGGGAGCGGAGGGGGAGGAGTGGGACGGGGAGGCGGGGGGAAAAAAAGGGTCAGGGTCAAATATGTCACCAGAGGAGGGGGGAGCACTAGGGACCGAGGCGGCGGGGAATGGAGGAGGTGGAGCGGGAGGGAGGATGGGAGGGGGAGGGAGAAGAGGGGGTGGGATAGTGTCGGACCAGTTGAGGGGCCTGGGAGCAGGGGCGAGAGGGTCAGTGGGGGGAGGAGTGGAATAGTAGGGCGTGGACTCATCAAAGACTACATCCCGACTGCGGAGGAAACGACCTGAGGGGGGGTGAAGGAAGAGGTAGTCCGGGGAGGAGGGATTATGACCAAGGAAGATGCAGGGGAGAGTACGGGAGGCGAGCTTTCCCATGGTGCGGGGGCGGTCCGCAGGGTGAATGAGGACATACGCCCTGGAGCCCCACACACGGAGGGAGGAGACGTCAGGCTTGGCCGACGTCCAGAGCTCGGTGGGAGTGGTGGAGGGAAGGATAGGGTGGGGGTACAGGTTAGTAAGGAGGGTGGCGTGAAGGAGGGCATAGCCCCACAGAGAAGGGGGGCAAGAGGCATGGACGAGGAGGCACCGAGCAATCTTGGTGATCTCCCGAACACGGCTCTCGGCCACACCATTCTGCTGGGGGGAGTGGGGGAGGGTGTGAGTCTGGCGAATGCCATGAAGCTCACAGTAGGAGGCTACCTGACGATTAAGGAATTCGCCACCGCCATCAGAGTGAAGGCGGCGCACAGGGCGGCCAAAGTGGGTGCTCGCCTGCTTGAGCCAGGCGATGATCGCAGCCGGAGCATCACCCTTCGAGCGAAGAAGGGAGACGGACGAATATCGGCTGTGATCATCGACCAGAACAAGCAAGTAGCGATGGCCCTGGCGGGAAGGGGAGGGGTTGGGGCCCCAGAGGTCCATGTGAACAAGATCAAGCGGCTGAGCAGCAGCGGAGGGGGAACTCCGATGCGGCAGCTGCTTGAGCTTGCTCTGGACACAGACGGAGCAGGGTGGGGCAAGGGAGGGAGGGAGGGGAGGGAGGGTGAGGGGAAGACCTCGAAGGAGACCTGAGGAGACGGTCGAGTGGAGGGTGGCAAAGTTGGGGTGACCAAGCCTGTGGTGGAGGAGGACGGTGGGATGGGAGAGGGATCGACAGGAGCACGTTGGGTCAGGGGGGAGGGGGGGAATGGTTGGGTTAGAAGGAGGGAGAGGAGGGGGAGGGATGTGAGGTGGGGGGAGGGAGCGGGAGACTGCCTGGGCAGAGGGAAGACGAGGAACTCGAAGGGTATATAGGCGGGAGAGAGGACAAAAGGGAATACGGGAGAGGAGGCGACCTGTGGGATGGTATAGGAAGCAGTGATTAGCGCGACCTGGGAAGACGGTGGTGATACCGGCCTGCTGCAGGGATCGCTGGGAGAGGAGGTTAGTACGGAGGGAGGGGATGTGTAAACCAGTGACGGTACCTGAGGGGAAGAGGGGACAGGGGAGGGTAGAGGTGTGGCGACAGGGAATAGAGAAGCTGGAATCGGCACCAAGGAGGGAGGTGGGGGCTGGGAGAGGGTGAAGGGTACCAGCATCACGAAGGACGGACTCAGTGGCTCCACTGTCAAGGACAAAGTCCAGCGTGGTGGAGGGGGGAGGATGTGGGGGAGGAGGTGGGACAGAGTACTGAATCACATTCTCATTAATAGCAGCCGAATACATAGAAGGGGCGGGGGTTCCAACCTGGCTAACCATGCCAACAAAACCAGAGGAGGGGAAAGGAGTCACACTGCCTGTGGCTGAGGGCGCAAAAGACGCGCCCGAGAGGTGAGCTGCGGAAGCGGTGGTGCCGGCGGTCCAAGCGGGGTAGGGCTGCTGGGGGGGAGCCATAGGAGGAGGTGCAAGGGGGAGCTGTGACTGGAGGTCAAGCTGCTGCTGGAGCTGCTGCTGCAACTGGGAGAAGAGGTGCTGCTGCCCCTGCTGCTGCTGCTGCTGGAACTGCTGCTGGTGCTGCTTAAACGGCTGCGGCAGGATCTGCTGCGGAGTCTGCTGCTGCTGCTGATGCTGAGAGACGGCCTGGTGGGCCAAGGGGGAGGAGACGGGCTGAAAAAGAGGGGAGGTACGAACTTCCTGAGGAGTGGGGCGAGGAGAGAGGGAGGACCAGCGGGGGGGGGTGCCGGTGTTGCCGCGGGCAAACCACTCATCACTGAGCGCTTTGAAGCAAGAATCAGTGGCATGAGTGGTCTGGCCGCAGCGCTGACCCCGCGTGGGGCCATAGCGAGGGAGATACTGGCAAGGAGGAAAGGCGGCTGCTGCACCACGTCCTGCGCTATTGCTACCACGACCCGCGCCACCACCACGACCAGCGCCACGCCCACCCCCACGCCCTCCCCTGGTGTTGCGCTGCTGAGCAACAGCGGCAATGGAGGAGGAATGGCGCAAGAGGTCGGCCTCAGTGGTGATAATCCACTGGGCGACTTCAGCCGCGGTGATGCGCTTGTCGATCAGCTGCATGTAGGCGATCTTATGGGTGTCGAAGGCAGGAGTCAAGCCTTCAAGGAGGTGGCAGCAGAGTACTGGGTTCGGGTACGGCACGCCAAGAGCCGCCAGGCGCCGAGCGAGGTCGAGGACGCGACGCGTGAAGGCAGCTGCGCCGGTGGTAGAGTCCATGGTGAGGCTCTGGAACTCCTTGATGAGGGAGTAGAGGGTGGCGACGTCCTGCCGATCATAGAGATCAGTGAGGAGCCGCCAGAGGTGGGAGGAGGAGGTGGGAGCAAGCTCGCGCTTGAGGGTGGGAGGAATGGTGGCGAGGAGGATGGTGAGCGCGCGCCGGTCAGCGACATGCCAGGCAGCGAGGTCGGTGATGTATGCGCGCTCGCGCCTGACGTACTCCGCGAGCGCCGCCTGATACGTGTTGTAGGCGGCAGTGGCGGCGTCATGCTCGGCGCGGGAAGCCTCGAAGAGCAGCTGCTGGCGGACGTGGTCGGTGAGGCCGGCACGGTAGGTGCGGATGGCCGTCTCGGAGCTCTGAGGGTCGTTGACGTCAGGGGCGAAGGTTGGAGGATCGCCGGGGCTGACGGGAGCATCGCCAGGAGGAGGAGGTGCAGGGCCCGCGGGAGCATCTGGCTGGGCAGGCTGAAGACCGCGCTCCTCGAGATGGACAACGGCTTTCAGGTTGTAGCCGTTGACCGTCACCGAGGAGAGAAGCACCGTGACGGTTTGGGCATAGGAATGCCAATTGACCGCGGTGTTGTCGGGCAGCAGCTCAAGAGCGTCGACGGAGGTAAGGTCCACCGAGGAATTGGACGCCATTGAGGAGGAGGAGGGGAAGGAGGGGGGGGGGGGGAGGGGGGGGGGAGGGGGAGGGGAGGAGGAAAAGGAAAGGAGGAGGAAAAGGAAAGGAGGAGGAGAAGGGGGGAGGGAGGAGAAGGATAGGTGCGCGGAGCGCAGCTCTTAAGTCGCCGAAATGGCGCGACGAACGGGTGCACGCGACGGCGGAATCGACGACGGGCGGGCGCACGCGGCGGAGAAATCGACCGACGGCCGTGCGCGCGCTGCGACCGAAAGGCGACGGGCGCGGTGGGAGAATTTGTCGACGGGCGTGCGCGGGAGCCGTGACGGTCGGCCGCGCGGAGAGCGCGACGGACGGGTGCGCGCAAACGCGGAAGGCGCGCGACGGGAGGGCGCGACGGGAGGGTGCGACGACGGGCCGCGCGACGGAGGAGCGCACCAACGGGCGCAGTAGAAGGATGCGACGGCTAGAAGCGCGTCGTCAAGCGCGACGGAAGGCGCAAGACGGAAGGGAGAGCGGGCGCGGCAAAAAAGGCGCGGGACGGGAGGAAGAGCGGGCGCGACGGAATAGCGCGGCGGGAGAGGGCGCACGGGGGGCGCGGGAAGGAGCCTTAAGGAAGGGCTAGGCTTCGAAGACGAGGAGGGACGGCATACGGCCGTGCTAGTTAGGATCGACTAGAGGTGGCGTGAGCCATTGTGGCTCTGAATACCATGAAGGAACTAGCTTGGAAGAGAAAATATTGAATTGAGTAGGGAGCCAAGAGGCTCTTTTGTACAAAACAAGGAGCATGGAAGAGTTGGAAGGGAAGCTCTCCTATTGGCCATAAAGTGGACCAATGGGAGAGGTTGCTTGTAGGGCAAGCAACCACAAAGTGTGGTGCTCTCCGATTGGCCACAATGTGGACCAATGAGAGAGATTGCTTGGAAGGCAAGCAACCACAAAGTGTGGTGCTTGGTGATTGGTTGGTTCCTAGGACCAAGGACCATTTGGTTGGAATAGTGCCAACCAAATGTCTAGGACCAAATCCAATCTTGACCAACCCAAATGTGGGGTTGGTCAACCCAACCAACAACCCCCAATAATTAGAATGACTACACCTCCTAATCTAGGCATGCATGTTGTATAGATATATATTTTACAACACCTTCTTCTCCCTGCTTCCACGCCTGCAATCCTTGCACTCTCTCCCCTGCCTTTCCTCCCCTCTCGCAGGCCCTTCCTGCTCTCCCCCTCACCCGCTCACACACGCCCCCCCACCCACCTGGTTCGCCAGCTCGGTGGTGGGCACGAACACTATGGCCCGTGGTCGCTTCGCCGCCGCTCCCATGCGCGGCCCACCCACTCGCCCTCCTGCCTCTTCCTCCCCACTCTGCACCGCCCCGTCCGCCCCTCCCCCCGCGTGTGCACGCTGCTCCTCGTGGGCGCGCAGGCGCTGCATGAGCGGCAGCAGGTACGCCAGCGTCTTGCCCGTGCCCGTCTGGTCCGCCATGATGCAGTCCGTCCCGCCCACCATGTACGGGAACGACGCCGCCTGGGGGCGAGGCGAGGGGCAAAGGGACGGTTAGCGGGGAGCGGGGATAGAGGGGGGAGGGGCCATGGCAGTTGAGGGCATGGAAGTGAGCGCGCGAGGCGGCGCCCATGCATCATTCAGCTGGTGTGAGAAGAAGAGCCGCAATAACGTGGGATGATGTGCGCTGGCAGGATATCCCATGAAAGCCATAGCTGCATAGATTAAATTCAAACCACACCACGTGCAGGTGTAGCCACGGCCCACGGCCCATTCAGGAGTACCCAGCTCCCAGGGCTGCCACGCACCTGGATGTGCGAGGGGCGGGTGATGCCCATGGCCTGGAGCGCGCTGAGGGCGGCAGGCGAGGCGCCGATCTGAGCGAAGGAGGTGCGGCTGAAGAAGTCGTCCGCCAGCGCCGGGTCGTAGTTGGCACGCTGCGAGGGGTCCACCGCCACCACCCCCCTCCCTGCTCGCGGCGCCTCAGATGCTTCGCCCGCTGCTGCTGCTGCTGCTGCTGCCGCTGCTGCTGCTGCTGCTGCTGCTGCTCCTGCCTCCCGCCCGCCCCTCTCACTGCCTGCCTTCTTCCCCTTCTCCACCTTCCCCCCTCCCCCCCCCTCCCCCGCGCGCGACGCCACCTGCCTGCGCAGCGCATCCAGCACGCTGCCTCCGCCCCGCCCGCCCTCCGCTGCTGCACTCTGCCGCTGCCTGCCCGCCTTGCTCCCCTCCCGCACATCCCCGTCCGCGCCCACCTCGATGATGCCCTCAAACGGCCCTTCTATGCCGTACCGCCCCAGGTCCTCCTCGCTCATCCACTCGCCCCTCTCCTCCTCCTCATCTTCCGCCGCTTCGTCCCTCCTCCCCCTACTGCCCGCGTCACGCACCTCCTCCCCGCCCGGCCAGCGTGCGGCATCTGTCCCCCGTGCGCCTTCACCCCAGTCCCCCTCGGCCTTGCCAGCGCCCACACGGAGGATGCCACTCATCTGCCCGCTACGATCGGCATCGCTGGAGGCTGCCACGTCGGCACTCCGCGCTGACAGGTTGGCATTACTGGCTGACATGGAACCCGTGGGGCCATCGGGACTGCTGTCAGCAAACCCTCCCCTGCCGGCCTCCTCCCCTCCCCCCACTTTACTGCGCCCAAAGTCCCTGCCAAACAGCCTCACGCCCCTCACTCGCCTCCCACTCGCGCCTTCCTCGCTCCGCCTCCCTCCCCTCACACTTCCCCCCCCATCTTCTTCCTCCTCTTCCCCCCACTCTCCCCCCTGACCTGGCACCTCCACCTCCTCCCCCTCTGTGTCCGATTCTTCCCCGCCCACTGCCACCCTCCCCTCCTTCCCCCTCCCCTCATCTCCCCCCAGTACCCCCCCCTCCCCAAACGCCCCCTCGTCATCCCCGTCGCCCTCGTCCGCGTCGTCGTCGTCGCCGTCCCCCACGTAGCGGTCGCCGTCCATGACGGCCCACCAGCGCTCCTCGCTCACCACGCCCGACCGCACTCGGCTCGCGCGCTGCCACACCAGGTCGCGCGCCGACAGCGTGGGCGGCCGGCCCTCCACGCCCACCACCAGCACGGGGTCGCCGCCGTCCGCCTCGGGGTCGGGCACCAGGAACGACCCCGAGGGTAACTCCTCCTCGCCCTCCTCGCTGCCCCTCCGCCCGTCCCTCCGCCTCCCCCACGCCCCTCTTCCCTCCGCCTGCCCGCCTCTTCCTCTCCCCCTCCCCCGATCACCTGCGCCTCTTCCCCCTCGGCCCCAGGAAGCGGAAGATCCCCCCCTGCCTCTCTCCCCTCGGCTCCGCGCATCCCAGGATGCGCCAGTGCGGCCGCCGCCCCGCCCACCTTCCGTGCGCCCCCCGTCGTTGCGCCATGCATCTCTACCATCTGACGAGTACCCGTTCTCCCCCAGCCCTCTCTCGCGCGCATTATCCGCTCCCCCGCCCCATTGCCTTCCCCAATCCCCCTCCTCACCGCGCGACCCCTCCTGCCGCCCAACATTCTCCCTGTCCCTTAAACCCCTCCTGTCCCCCTCGCGGTTTCCCCATCCTCCGCTACCTCCTCGCCTCCCGCCTCGTCCCCTTCCGCTCTCCGACCGCTCCCCGCCTCTCCCTCCCCTGTCGGACCACCCTCCGCCGTTTCCGCCTGCCTCCCTGCGCCCTTCCGCACGCTGCCCCCCTTGCCCGGCGCCCCTTCCGGCAGTGGCCTCCCGCGCTGAGATCCCCCGTATTCCGCTATGCCAGTTGCCCCACTGCGCTCGGCCAGCCGCGGACCGAAACCCGCTAGCACCCCCTGCGGGCTCTCCCCCGGTTCGTTCCGCCCTCAACGCGCTGAGCGTTCCCCTTACCCCATGCCCCAGCCGCGCGCCCTCAGGGGAGCTGCGCAGAGAGCTGGCGCGCGAGGGTAGCGGGTACACAAAGATGCGAGCGGATGGAGTGGTGGGGATAAGCTCAGTCCGTGAGGACTGGAAAACGCGCTGCCCTGATTCACCCGAAAGACTGGGCAGACAGGTAGGCGGCTGGTCGAGTGACAGCTGTGAGGCAAAAGAGGCCGTCGAAAGCAAGCGGGCTGACATGGCCGCTGGAGAACAGAGACATACCACCGAGGCTCATGCCACTAAACGAGAATCAGAATGCAGAACAGCAAAATCTGGTAATACTAAATTTCTATATATGATACCAATAGCAGTTTAAACATCCGTTGTAGTCTAGTCGGTTACGATTTTCGGCTCTCTCCCGAAAGACCCAGGTTCAAGTCTCGGCATCGGAATTTTTCTTCAGGTTAAGCCTTTTCGACAAGCTTGACCCTCACCCACACCAAATAACCAGACCTCATTAACAGCAATGAAAACGTGTGTTTTTAATCCCAGTTGCATTTGCAGACTTGGGAATCCAGCAATGCCTATGGTGCCTTTGGGTGCTGTTTCCCACAGCAGCACATTCCACTTGACAAGCAAAAATAAGCAATGGTCACATTCTGGTTCTCTCACCCTACTGAAGGCTGTTGGGACCAAACTCCAGCCCCACCTAAAGCAACTCCCCCTGGTGTGCGTGGGTACGCCCTGCACCATGGCCACAGATTCCAGGCTTTTTACCCTCATTCAGAGTAAAATCTGGGCATTTTTGGGGGGTGACCCTACTGAGACAGGATTTTTTTAAGACAGAGGCGCACCGCCGAGTCGCCGAGTTGTTGCGCCGCTGTGCCGCTGTCACACTATGCGATGGCAGACGCCGTTCTTCGCTTGGACGCTAAGGGGCACGCGATCGACTTCGCCGCTTGGCTCATCGGCCTCCGCCGACACCTGACAGGTCAACGCCAGGATGGGCACTCCCTAGCTATGCATGTTGATGGTTTGCTTCCCCGCCCCCCTGCGCCTAATCCCCTCCCTGCTGACCCTACCACTGCTGAGAGCGAGGCTTTTGCTGCTGCTGTGCTTGCTCGAGCCGTCTGGGATTCTCGCGACGCAGTAGCCCAGCTTGCCATTAGCCATGCCCTCCCCCTGTCTGAGCGTCCACACTTTACCGCAGTCGTGAACGCCAAGGACTTTCTCGATGTAGTAGTTGAGCGTTACTCCACACTTGCTTCCGCCTCTGCTGGCCGCTTGATCCTACCCATGCTCTTCCCTGATCTTTCTGCTTTCCCCATGGTAGCTGACCTCGCTACTCACCTCCGTGCACTAGAGACCATCTACCGCGCTGCTAGCTCTGCCGCCCAGCTTTCCCCCACCTTTCTGGCTACCCTGTACCTCATCGCCATGTGCCTGCCTGACTGCTTAGCCACTGCCCGCGACCACTTCCTTAGTCAGCACCCTGCCGACCTCACCCTGACCGCCTTTGTCACCACTCTGTCTGAGATAGAGACTCGCCAGTGCACTATCGCTCAGTCGAGCGGTGTTGCGGCAATCCCTATCTTTGACGGCTGTGCCCCCTCCCAGTGCACGTACGCTGACGTCTCCGCCACAGTTCCCACGACTACGCTTACACCTGAGACAGTAGCTGCGGCTTACCCGCAGCAGCGCCAACGCCGAGGCCGCTGTGGCCTCAAGGGAGGACGTGGAGGTGGCGCTAGTGGTGGTGGTGGCGGGGACAGTGGTTCTGACGAGGGGGTTGGTGCTTGTTAAAGGATCGAATGTGTCGAGGAAAGATTGCACTATTGATGAATACAAGGCGCTTTTATACTTCCAGGGTACATCAGGTAACCAGGTTTATCCTATCCAAGGGAACAGACCCTTCTAGAAAATAGAATCACCCTGCGTATAGTCATGCGAGGCTATTGGCTGTAAGGGATTACGGCAGGATTAGGCTAAATATAGCGTGCCAGTACATCCCAAGCCTGGTCGGTGATAAAATTATAATAGCAGGATAAACCAAAGGATAATGGAAAATGGAGAATAGGAAACCAAATGAGATGAGATAAAAAGAGATATGTAGTAGAAACGAAGTAGGAAAAGGGACAAGTGGTGTAACGGGGTCGTACTCTCACACTTCCCCCCCTCAAAGCTGGGTGGTAGAAGTAACACCCTGCTTGACAAGGTAGTCATGCAGAGGACAACGAGCGTTACCCATGTCGGACTCAGGTACCCAGCTATCCTTAGAAGGATCATAACCCTTCCAACGAATGAGAAGCTCCACGGTGCCATTCCGACGACGGCGGTGTGCAAGCACGGACTCGACCTCGTACTCGGGTTCATTCTGGACGAGGACGGGCGGCGGGGCGGCGGTTGGCGTCCGATGAAAATCGTGTTAGGATCCCGATAGGGCTTCAGAAGTTGGACATGGAAGGCATTGTGAATCTTCCAGGCAGCTGGCAGGCGTAAGCGGAAGGTAACAGGAGTGACCTGCGCTTCAAGGAGGAAAGGCCCGCAGAAGCAAGGTCGAAGTTTAGATGGGAGATGGCTGATGTCAAGGTTGCGGGTGTCAAGGAGCACCTGGTCTCCCACGGTAACGGTGTGGTCGTGGCAATGGCAATCGGCCTGGTGCTTCTGTTGCTGTTGAATGTCGATGAGGCGCTTGTGGGTCCGATCCCAAAGCCGATGCATGGCTGTGATGAAATCATGGGCAGGTTGAACTGTAGCGGATGTTGTCGTTTTCTGTGGTGTAAGTGGGTGGCGTCCGTAGCAGAGGAAGAACGACGTCTCTCCAGTAGCGGCATGTGTAGCATTGTTGTAAGCAAACTCTAGAACGGGCAGGTGGAGGTCCCATTTGGAGATCTCGTCCTTGCAGGCTGCTCGGAGGAGTTGCTCGACAATCTAGTTGAGGCGCTCGGTTTGTCCGTCTGTCTGCGGATGGTAAGCGGATGACATGGCGAGTTTGGTCCTGAGCAGAGACATTAGTTCCTTCCAGAACTTGCTGGTGAACTTGGGGTCGTGGTCGGAGATGAGTGTGGTTGGGATGCCATGCTGTGAGATGATGTATCAAACGAAGAGTTGTGCTGTCTCTTCGATGCGCGCTGTCGTGTGTGTCGGGATGAAGTGTCCCATTTTGGAGAACTTGTCGATGAGGACAAGGATTGCGTCATGACCGCTGGTGGTAGGTGGTAACCCGGTGATGAAATCCAGGCTAACCACTTGCCATGGTTGTTCTGGGACAGGAAGAGGCTGCAGTAGTCCCGCCTTTTTCTGCTTGCTGCTCTTCATCCGTTGACATGTATCACATGAGGTGACGAATCTCTGAACATCTTCTGCCAAGTGGGGCCAGTAGTAGTACTTCGCAATACCGGTCATCGTCTTGTTGCTACCGAAGTGTCCTGTGTATAGAACATCGTGGTATTCTTCGAGTAGTAACTGGCGCAAAGGAGGGTAATTGGGTACCCAGATTTTTGTTGATCCTTTTCGGTATGCGATGTCACTGTCCCACTGTAGCAGGTGTCGCTTCTCTGCCAAGGGAGTTTCGGGGTCGATGGTGTACCCGTGTGTGAAGAGTCCCTTGAGTAGTGGATTCATCCCTTCGACCTGAATGGCGGCAACTTGTGCAGGCTGGCTAAGGGCGTCTGCTTTGTTTTTGTGACCGGGCTTGTACACGATGTCGTAGTGGAAGTGTGTCTCGAGGAAGTCGATCCACCGGACCTGCCGCATGGAGAGGTTTGGTTGTGTTTTTAAGTATTTCAGGCTGCAGTGGTCGGTGTAGACAGTCGTTCTTCGTCCTTCGAGATAACATCTCCATGCTTTGAAGGCGATGACGATGGCAAGGGCCTCTTTGTCGTGTATCGGGTAGTTTAGTTCTGCCCCGTGTAGTTTCTTGCTGAGGTAGGCAATTGGTTGCAGTCCATTCCCCTGGTCTTGCATCAAGACTGCTCCCACTACCTGGTCGCTGGCGTCAGCTTCGATGACGTAGTCGCGTTCGGGATCTGACAACATGAGTACTGGTGGGGACGTGAGTGCTTGCTTCATCTGCTCCACGGCTTCCTGGTGTTTCGGCTCCCATTTGTAGGGCGTGTTCTTTTTCAGTAGATTCGTAAGTGGTGCCGCGAGTTTCGCGTACTGTAGCACGAACCTGTTGTAATAATTAGCGAAGCCAAGGAACTGGTACAACTCCTTCATGTTCTCGGGCGTCTTCCACGTACGTACGGCTTCGATTTTCTTGGGGTCGACGTGAACTCCTTGAGCGCTTACGATATATCCGAGGAATTGGATGAGGGCGAAGTTGCTCTTGGATATTTTGATGTAGAAGCGTTCTCGTCGAAGAATCTCGAAGACGCGTCGCAGGTGTTCAGCGTGTTGTTGTATATCGTGCGAGTAGATGAGGATGTCGTCCAAGTACACCACCACGCACTCGTCCAAGAGTGGGCGTAGAATATGGTTCATCTCGGCTTGGAATGTTGCCGGTGCGTTGGTGAGTCCGAATGGCATGACCAAATACTCGTACGATCCGTACCGACTTCGGAAAGCAGTCTTGTGGATGGAGTTGTCCGCCATTCGTATCTGCCAGTATCCGGACCGCAGATCCAGTTTGGAAAATACCGTAGCTCCTCGAAGCTGGTCAAGCAGATCATTGATTCGTGGTATCGGATGTTTATAATTGATGGTCTGCTTGTTGAGAGCTCGGTAATCGATGCACATGCGCAGGCTTCCGTCCGGTTTCGGTGTGAAGAGCACTGGGGCACCGTATGGTGAAGTGGATGGTCGGATGAGTCCTTTGGCGAGGAGATACTCAATCTGTTTTTTCATGTCAGTCAACTCAGTGGGACTGAGCTGATATGGTGTTCGAAAGGTCAGCTTCGAACCTGGTTCCTCCACGATTTCGTGTTGATGCATTCGGTATGGCGGTAGCTCGTTCGGAAGATCGTCAGGGAGAATGTCTTGGAACTCCTTCAGCAATTCCTTGATTTTTCCTGGAGGTTCCGAGGTCTTCTCTCCGTCGTTCTCCACCTCTGTTGCTATCGCTCGGAACCCGGTGTCGGTTCGCTTCACGTCCTTCTCGAATCGTGCGAGTGTCTCCACTGGGATATCTCCTGTATCGTCCCAGTTGGGTAGTTGGACTCTCCTTCCATTGTTGTAGATGCTTGCGGTGCGATTTACCCAGTTGATCTTGGAGTTGAATCGTTTTAGGAAGTCTCGCCCGAAGATCAAGTCAAGCCCTTTGATGTTGGTGATGGGGAGTGTAGGTCTCCA